GTGCACAGTCCTGGCACTCCCACCCTCCCTCCCAAAACACAGTTGCTTTATGGCCCCCCAGCTGAGACCCAGCTGTTTGGTGCAGGGACAGAAGAATCACTAGGTCCAACCAAAACTGATTTGTTGAGGATTCTCACTGTTTAGGAACTACCTGGTGGCCTCTGGAAAAAGGCACTTGGGGTCTTGGTTCTGCTCCTGGCATAGATCCACGCACTCCCATCAGCACAAACTGCAGCTCAGCAGAGGGGAAGAAGGGATGATGGACTGTGGATACTGAATACCCTCTCCCCCCGCAAACAGAGAGTCCCCTCAGGGGCAGGGGGAGGCATGCGGGCAGGGGACAGAGCATGTGCATGGCACAGCACAGAGGGAGAAGCTTGTCCTGCAGCTGCCCAGGCAGTACCTTTCGTCTTCAGGATAGTCAAATCCAGTCCACTTCACCAGCACTAAAGTCACTTAAGCCCTTTGCGCCAGTCACCGGAGTGGGACTTTCCTTGGAAAGTTGACCCTGCCGTAGGGGCACATGGGTTACGCTGCAGGTAGGCCAGGACCACCACCTCTGCCAGGCATCAGTTAACACGAGCTCTCCACAGAGGCATCCCACGTCTTCCCCAGCACGGCCGACTCAGCACCACGCAGCCCTCTCTCCAGCTGAGGGACTGGAGCACGGTAATCCAGCTCATCGGCTTCATTAGCAGTCAGCACACCGACAGCACGGAGCAGCCCCCGTGCCTTACTTGGCACTGTGCAACCAAAGGGCGGTTTTCAGGGGGCAGAAACAGGCAGCGAGATACCGAAGCAAGAGGGTTGCTTACCCACGACACCACCCGGCCGTTGAAGCAGGGAAGCTTGGCATTGTCATCCGAGATCTCTTCTTTCACCACCCTGCAGAGGGGAGAGGAGGCAGTTAGAGCTGGGTCCAGGACTTCAGAGGAAAAGGAGGCTTTCTCAGGAGGCTCTTTACCCCCAAAACCAAGCAGCCCAGGCTTGGGGATGGGGCAGGGAGAGGACTGGCAGCTCCCTCCTGCTGTCAGGCTACAGCTTCCTACACCCACAGTCATGACTGATAGACTGCAGAGGAGAAGACAAGGGCAGAACAGGCTCTCCCCCATGTGCATCCAGCTGTTTTACTCCCCAATTCACATTTTAATCAGTCAAAAAAGAAATATTCAGATGCATATTTCCACCAGTTTGCTTATTTCTAAAGAAATCCACCAGTTCGCCTATTTCTAAAGAAATACATAATTTAAACCTCTTCATAATGATCTGAAAGAATCACATCTATGTCAGAGTTTTCTAACAGATGAAAGTGAAATACATTAAACATGCTGCCTCCCAAATGTTACTGTTGCTTTTTAATTACATACATAATATTTCAACATCACTTCAAGCTTTATAGTTGTGCCACAATGTCATGTTCCTGCACTACACAAACAGCTGCATTATTATCAGTCTTCACAGTGGAAGAAGCGCTGATAATTTTTTTTCCCCAACAGTAAAAACACCAGTTTTCTTTGGGGAAAAAACGTCTTCTTTCTGTTTTAAATACCACCAGGCACCTAAATAATTTTTCCACAGTGAGTCCACAATCAAAACAACTTGTCAATTCACCAGGTTCAATTAATACCATTCTTTGATAAATCAAATGTAATGGCAAAACAGGCTTTAACAAGCTCATTTTCTTTTCTACTCAATGACAATATTTTAAGCAATCTTATTTAATACAAATACATCTTACAAGTAGTTTGTGATATTAATTTCAAGGTAAGGTAGCTTGACACATACTGTGCTTAAAAGAAACCCGTGGTAACTAACCAGTGAATAAATTATGTTTGGGGGAAAGAGAATCCAACAGAAGAACAACAAAAGAACGAACACGAAACTGAGGGAAATCATGTATTAAAAAGAAGTAGCTTATAAGTAACTACAATAGAGTATGCAGAAGTGGGATCCCGTCAACAGCCCTGAAGGGTCCCCAAGCCAGTCCCCAACTCACGCAGAATCGAAGAGGATGCAAGTGTGGGACGCAGAGCTGTGACCCATTGCCCTAGACTGTCACGCAGCCATCGAGAGGCAGCACGCCGGAACCTGGAGGAACACGTACTCCAGGTTTCCGGCTGCGCTCCCTGGTGCAACGACAGCTGCCCAAGCCGTCACTGAAAACAGGACAGCAAGGCTCACCGACACTCGCAAGGCATCAGCAAAAGGCAAATGAACAGTGCTGGAAGACCAGAACCTGGGGAGCAGGCTCGCTCCACCCTGCCAGCTGCGCCGGTTGCTCCAGTGTCACGTATGCTCAGCGAAGGGCTGTCCTACAGGATGAAAGGCAGCACGTTGTCACATCTTTGCTGGCAGCTGGCACTCACGATCCCTGCCCAAACTGGAGCGCCAGCAAAGGGACTCGACAAACACTACCCATCCCCAGAAGGCATGGATGAGGAGGTCACGGTTTGAGCAGTCTAATCCATTTCCAGGATGTGCATTAATTCCTTTTGCACAGATGGAGAAGCAGGAAAAAGCAGGAAAGGAGCATTGAGGATGGATTAAAACCCTGCTGGCTTAATGCTTCTCCAGCATGCTCCATGCCAGCCTCTACCCAAAGCCCCTGCAGCCAGGATGAGTGTCAAACACAGGCAGTCCCCCCAGGACCCATCCCCTTCGGTGCCCACGTCAACCCTTTCCAATGCAGGCAAGTTGTCGTCTCCTCACTTCCCAGCGTACGCGCGCCCTGGCCTGGCTGCGCTAGCATCCATTCATACTGTCGCCAGCAGCCTGGACTTCATCCAATTCCTAGAGAGAACTTCAGGCAGAGCCAATTTTCAGCGCTGCATGCTGCCTGCTCGGGGACGCAGAGCCCTGCCTGAGGGTGAAGGGACAGGGTGATATATTTGCAGGGTCAAGGTGACCAACTGCTAAGTACAAATGAACTATTCCATTTTCAGTGGGGACAGAGGAAGTCAACCCCCAAGACCTCCCGCCCACCCTCAAGTGCAATGCCTGATGGAGAACAAGCTCCCTCTGTCCTGAGAGCTGGTCCCTCTTCGCTCCTATTACCCGGCTCCTGCCCCAGACATCCCAGGGGTCAGCTCCACCCCGGAAGAGTTTTCTCCCTCCTTCCCCAGCCACTACATTATTTATCACTATTTATCACCCAGATGCCAAAGCACAACGGATAATAAATATATTTAGACTCTATAGAGCAAAAACTGATAGCGCTGGAACTGGGCACATGCTGAGCAGGAATATCTCCGCAGCCTTACTCACGTCTGTCACCCCTCGCACCGTCCCAGCTATTCGTGCTCTGCATTCCTCTCCAGCCTCAACCCTGAGCTGTGGCCTTTCTCCCCTCCCCACCTCTCACCACTCTCTTCAAGCCACACTTCTCACACGAACAAGACCACAGGTTCACGTCAGAAGCCAGCAGCCTCTGGGGGAGCTGTAAGTGGTGCCACGTTTCTCCTCCGCAGTTGCATGGGGAGGCAGCCATGAGATGAAACTGCTCTATGGATGTGCTGGGAGGGAAAGCTGTTCCATGGACGCGCTGGGAAAAGCCCCCAGCTGACAGGGTCCGAGCCCAGGAATCCCAAAAGAGCAGACCCAGAAGCAGCTCAGGGTCTCTTGGTTCTCTAAAAGCCTTTCCTTTTGGCAGGAGCCACCACAGCCGAGGGAAAGCATCTGCCCAAGGCTGATTTCAAAGGGACTGCTTTTAGTTTACTGTCCATCAGGGTAGCCTGGGTTCAAATTTTTCCATGTTTGAAATCCTGCTGGGGGCTGGGCACAACATGGCTGAGAACGGTGGCCAGGGAAACCCCTCTACTATGGAGAGGCAGTCTGAGGAGAGCATGGGTCCAGCCCTCTCGGCGCTGCTGCTCTGCATGGAGAATCATCCAGCAGAACGGGCGCTTGTCGGCCCCCGTCCTGTCCCCAGGGCCAGCCGACGTGCTGCAGCCAAGCTGCGTGCTCATCGCCTGGCCCGCGGGCCCAGCACTCGCCGGCACTCATCTGCCTTGAATTTTCCAACAAAGAGACCTGCGGGAGGAAGGAAGGAGGGAGGGAGGGTTAGAGGGGAGGCAGGCCGAGTGGGCGGATGATTCAATGATTCAACTGCCATCCCCAGCGACTCGGGGCCAAGCTGGGGAGGGAGGAGGAGGGGACGAGGCTCTGGCTG